GAGAAATCTATACTTCCTCTAATCGCTTCTTATTTAAAATTTTATAAATTTAAATTTAGAAAAGAAACTTTCTTTAAAATATAGGAAAAAAGAAAGAAAACACGATATAAAAATATATAATAAGTGTAAGAATATATATAATAATAAAAGAAAAAATAAAAACAAAGAAAAATACATTCTGCGAATTTGATATGTATAATGTATCTGTGAATTATGAATCTTCTATCTTTAGAAAAATTTTCTACTTCTATTATTAAATTATTTATTAAGTTTTTACAAGTTTATATATTTGGCAATATAATTGTATAATATATAAACCTTTTATTAAATTAATAACAATATGCAAATTATTAATTTATACACTATTACTACTGTGATGTGATAATAATATTGTAATATTATACAATTTGAAATCGGATTATGCTTTATATTCTCGACATGCGACCTATATCGCAATATATGCGACCTATATCGCAATATATAATTTGTTCCTGAAACGAATATGTTTTAATTTCAATTAAATTCATTTTCAATAGGTTTCTTCTAAATAAAAAAAAAAGCTTCTTCGAGAAAAAAAAATAATTTTTTCATTTTGCAAATTAACATGTATAATAAAGGATTTAATCTTATAATCACTCATATAAGTTAGTCATGCATCATCATTTATTATAGATGTAAGCAACATTGATAAGAAAACAAGCGCAGAATATATATATTAAGCTACACACGCTAATTTCACGAATAGAATTATTATCTTACGCAGGGAATGAAGATCTCTCGCTCGCACAATCAAATAGCCGTGATATCATAGCTCATTGTAATTTGCGCATAAATGGCTTTCGTTATTAGTAAGTGAGATTAATCGGGAATTTAATTACACAGACTAACAACATTATCTCGTTGTGTTAATTATAGTTTATTTATGTGCTATAGTTGTGATTTATATACAGCATTATTAACAATATTATTATCAAAAATTATATATTAAATCAATTTGATTCAAATTCTCTCTCATTTCCCTTATTCTTATTATTTTTCATTATTTTTCATAGTTTTTATATATATATATTATTTCATATATTTATATAAAATGTATTTAAAGATGAAAAGAGAAGTAGAAAATAATTGTCAATTTTGGTAATGTAAAAAAAATTTTAAAATAAGAGTAACATGTATTTAATGAAACAAAAAACTTATTTTAATATCTAAACTTGTTTTAGTCTATCTATAACCAAATTGATACTCAAAAATATAAAAACGATTGAGTTATCTCTTAATAAAGATTCAATTTATTATCAGGTCTAGATATAAAGTCTTTAGATATAAATTTTATAAAACGAAGAAGACACAATTGTTAAAAAAATTTGCCATATTTTATAATGTCAAAAATGTTATTTAATTACGACTTGTCAAGCTAATCGATGTACTGGAATAAACATTGATTTTAGCAATTTATAATATGTACTATATTTGAGCAAAAAGATAGTAAAAAAGTATTTAAGTAATAACACTTTAAACATGTAGAAACTCCATACTATGTACGGATCAAAATAAATCTCTAAAAAAACTCAATAAATTTCAAATTTATTCCATATTATATCAACGCTCAAAAATAGTAGTTGAATTTCGCACAAAATAGTAATTCAATAAAGGCGAGATAGAGAGAAATCTTTCGATAATGCCGTTACTATTACGCAAGGTAATACGATAATCCGATAGCAAATTATACGGATTGTGCGGATCTATTACCGACTTCGTAATGATTAGTAAATTATCTCTCTTTTGGTTGATATTTTAAATTGCAATCCATTTATTATCAAATTCTTTATAAACTTGATATTGATATTTTTGCAATTATTAGCTACTAGATACTCACAAGGGAGTCTCACGAAGTTTTTATTAATTTATACATATATGAAACCGTGATTTCATGGATTAAAGCGGACAAAGCTTTTGAATGAAATATACATGTTAAAAAAAGATGGTAAAGTATTTTAAAATATTCAACTAATTATAAAACATTTTATTTATGTTTTTTCAACAATATAAAACGTAATTTGAAAATATTTCATTTCAATTCTTTTTAATGTGTGGATATATACGATGAATAGAGTATTGAAAATTTTGAAATTCATTAATATCTGGTCGAATTAGCATTCAATTATTCATTTCTGTTTAATTAATTCACGCGTATAATATAATTACGCATGCGTATAATTATATTATATAATTATTGAAAAAATCGTCGCATCGATGTTGTTTAATTGCATGAATTCCTCATAGCAGAACTCTTTCCAGGGACGAAAAATAACAAGTATTTCCATTCCTCGCTTTCTATTTTTCTCGTTAGCATGTAGCAAAAACAAAGAATGATTACTTGGTATCGAAATAATTGTCACAGTACGTTCTCGATAATAGCATCGCGACGAGCATTTTTAAATCTCCGCAGCCAACTTATTTAAGTTTTTTTGCGAAATAATTGTCCTTGCGGGAGCGATTGATTCAATGACAAGATCGAAGGGTGTAGAGTTGAGTTCTCCATCATCCCCGATGCGACCGTAACGAGAGAGGGAAAACGAGGTCGACTGGAGAGGAGACGGTCGACGACCTCGTTCTTCCCAGCCTCGTTACATCCTCCCCCACCTCCCTCAGTCGCATCTTTTTCCTTCGTCGCCTCCGAATGGAAATCGCGTTACGAACGATCGCAACGTGAACTGTAAATTATCCGCGACGCTGTTAAATCTCACCATCACGCCAGGTATCTATCGCTTTTAATTGTCACATTGTCAACGAAAGAAAATTTAATACACAATATCATGATAATAATATGAAGAGAACATTTTCAAAAAGCCTTATTTTTATTGATTATAATTTTTTTTATCCACAATATATGCACGGGTGGAATTTATAATTAAAATTACTTTAATAAAATAATACAAGTTAAAAAAAAAGAAACTCTATAATCGAAACGAGAGTATTTCCTATGTAAAAATTAGTGATTTAAAAGCTATCATTAAATCTTGCAAATATTTTAAGATCGAGATTTCATTGATAAAAATGAAATAGTTGGAAATTATTTGAACATTTTAAATCAGTATCCGTCGATTGAAAATTATTAGATAAAATCAAATTACTGAATTTTTTGAAACCTCAAAAGTTAACTTTTGAATTACTATTCAATAAAAGTGTCTTTATATGTGTGTACAAGTAATAATATAAGAAAAGTTTTATGCACGTGTTGTCACTTTCCTTCGTCTATCTTTTAATCGCAAACGAAACGCAAGTCGCCTCGCAAGAAATGCGCCCAGAGCTCTTACTTGTCGCAACGTCGTCGACGTGCAAAATGCAAAATGGCGTGTGTTGCATTAAAAAGCAGTTCCAGTCAGGGAAGTCAAGGAGCACACGCAAGCACGCCGTTATATATTTTATTTCGTTCGACATAGCGGGGAAAAGGGCGCGCACGCGGCTTTTTAAAACAAAGACATCGTCCATTGTGATTTATGTCGCGGCTTTCGCGCTCCTTTCTGATACCGGCGAGTTACATGAATAATCTATCATGTAATCGCCCAAGCGAAAGTAAAACAAATGGCATTGCTTTCGGAAAGCTTTTAGCTCGGAAAACCTACCGAAGCTTTTACTTGTGTTTCAAGAACAACCTGCAACGAGATACGTCTTTTATTTATCAATGTCCAATACGAAGCTGCTGCTCGTGGCATCCATTATGTTTCATAATCATTCCGAGGAAAACAAGGCTTTGCAGTTCTAGAGATAAGATCGATAAAAACTGAGAATTTTGAAGTCAATGAAATATATCAGGAGTGCATTGCGATGCAAAATATAGATATTATGTACGTGTGTATGTAAAAAGATTCAGTTTTCCTGTACAAATCATTATCTGTATACATTCATAATAATCTCAATTGATTAACGCTAATTTATAACAAATGCTAGCAAGATAGTTTCAACGGTTAGATGACACTTTCACGTAGAATTCGAAATTCAGACATTAATGCCATCATCGTTTCCATAAGAAATTTCTCGAGATTTCGAGATCTGCATGCAAATTTCATGGAAATGCGGTACGAGTGCCTCCACATCGCGAAATTTCAAATGTGACGCCGTCGCACTCGTGGGACACCTTTTATTTTACACAGACGAGATTCTACGAATTATGTACTATTAAGGCCAATGATTATTACAAAGTGAGACATATAAATAATGTATTACACGAGAAGCTAAATATTGCATGGTCCATTAAATCTTCCGCTGGAATTTTCTTAATAACAGATTGTGCCAAATTACATCTCATTTTCCTGACAACAATCGATACTGGGTTTGTTCGGAGCTATGAGAAAATAATTAAATGTATTATTAAATGTATAAATAAAAAGCGAGGGAGCACAACGCCAGCATGCAGAGAGCAAATTAGTTTCTACTTTGCAAAACGGCCAAATTGCATTTTCGATTGCGTCTTTTATTTTCTGAAATTTTCTGACTCATCGATTTACGTAACATAAATTATTACTAATAATGAACAAATAATGCAATATAATAATGCATTGTATGAATAAAAAACACATGCAAATAAGATTTTTCATTTCGAGATCATCTCGTCTCGAGATTATTTTCAAATATTGAATAAACATTATTTTAAAGCATTTTCTACAAAAACTGGATATAAAGTAGACAATTAAACGTGAAATGAAATATTTATTTATTGATTTCATTTTTTATCTAAATTAAAGTTCAGTATAGAAATTAAAATTATACATGTCTCTATCAATTGTACTGTTAGATAACATCAACTGCCTCGATTATCATTGATCTGGTTATCATTAATTTGGATTTAAACCAATATGGAAAATCCCGATTAACCACGCGTGATTAATATTGAGGTATAAATGAGGCATAAATGTGTAATTAACAATTAATTATTAACGCAATGATAATTAACTAACTATTCCAAATTATGCTGATAAAAAACAAACTGACTCACTTACCTAATTCCGGACCGCAGACTCTCGGTATTATTTCCAAAATAGCGCTACACGATGAGTCTTCGTAGCACAATTGACGGGCGTAGAGACAATTCAGTATGGCCATCGGTACCTTGATACCCGATCCTGAAACAGAATAGATGCGATATTAAAAAGCCAGTGCGCGCATAAAAAATGCGCGTTTAACATTTTTCTCGCGCCGCAACGCGACGGACAAGATTAAAATCCGACATTACGGCCGGAAAAGAAGAAAAGGAAAGGGGAATTCCATGGAGATCAGTTGCTGGCGCCGAAAAATTCGGGAAATTCGTCGTTATTACGGCAAATTACCGCGTGACAAAACCGGTCGAAAGACGGCGCCGCGGCATGGGAGGAAATGCGAGAGTGCGCAGTGATTTAATATCCCCCGTGCGATAAAGCGTTTCCGTTATTTATAACCGGCCGACGTGAAACTCTCCGACGACGACAAATTATATTTCATTAGGCGCGCACGGATAGTTTGAATGAGAATGAAAGGGCGCGAATAAAACGGGCGCACGCGTCTGTACCGACTCGTCGTAAATCAGCGCGAATAAAATGTGATGTCCGAATAGAATTCTTTTTGATGAAGACAAACGCATTTCGAATGAATTTTTCTCCGCAAAATACCAGAAAATCGAGTTAATTTTTATGCAATAATAAAGTTAACGGAATAATGAAGAAGTTGCGTCCACAATTAATAATTTTCATAAAATTTTCGATCGAGACTCTATTGTTTGACAAAATCTTGATGTGCAGAATGTTTCAATGTACTTTATACAAATTACAAATATAAAATAAATCTCATATATATTGAGGCAAAAATTGGGAAAAATGTATAGATATTAAAAAATTTTAAATTAAAAATTCAGGTTAAATAAAAATATTTAATTTCATAATTTATCAAATTACGTTAAAACATATATTGTATAAAATATTTATGTAATTAATTTTAAAAAATTGCAAATATTAAAGAAAATAAAGTGAAAAATATTTGCTTCAATATTAATCAATTTGCAGAGGTAAAATTTACACAATCATAAAATTAGAGAATTCTTGTTAAATGAAAAAAGCTTTTTTAAACTTTAAAATTTTTATATTTATCCATGTATTTCTGGAAATTTTCAAATTCTTAATTCTTCATTTGAACAAATTTAAAACAATTATGACTGTGTTATAACTATTTACTGTACAACTTTGCGACCATAAACTCGCAAATTGCCAAACATATGACTAAAGTGCAAATAGTGTCGTTAATGCACCGATAAAGCTGCATATCAAGCTTTTTAGTTAATCAAACGACGTGCATCATGCATAAAACAAAATGACTTTTCGATTTTGTCGATATGTGATATGATGCTTATCTTTATGATTTTTTTTAATTTTATCTAATTCCTGCAATTCTATATAATTCAGTTATTATTAATATGCAATTGCGATTTATCCCTTACGCATCAATTTCTCATTAGAATTTTTATGTGGAAACTATACTGTAGCAGTAAAATTAATAAATTATTGGAATTAATAAAATATATCTATAAAATTAATGCCTTACAGAGATAAATAAATTACTTAAAACATTAATAAATAAATTATTGAATAAATAAATTTAAATTATTAAATTAAATAAATTTATATAAATAAATAAATTATTTAAATACATTAAATCAATAAATACATTAAATAAATAATAATTTTTACTACATAAATAAGGTACTTATACATTAAATTATTATGGAAGAATTATTACTTTTCTCTAAAAAAGGCACTTTTTATTTATGACAAAGCAATATCGAATGTCAAATAATATTTCATTCTATCTCTCCGAATGTATCTGTATTGTCCTAGTACACGGTATCGAGAATCGAGTTGCCACCGTGGAGATGTCTTTTCGTATTACTGAGTATACCGGAAATGTCGTTGCCAGTCGGATTACATCCTGCGAGATGAACGAATGAAAGCGTCGTTGCCGGAGCAGAAGAGGGTCACAAGCATCGCTTATGATACCTTATCATATCACAATGTGTCCCCCCCCTCGCGTGCGCGCACAAATTTGTTTCGCGTTTGATGTATCGCGCAATAGCGTAACGGAAATACGAATCTCCTTTCATTTCCCTCTCTCTCTCTCCCGCCCCCTCTCTCTCTCTCTTTCTCTCTCTCTATCTTTCTCTCTCCCCGAACGAAATTCTCAAAGATGTAGAAGCACTTTCAGAAATGGCCACTGTCAAAGGCTTCATTCGACGCTCGCGATTGCAGAAATCCGTCTATTTTGGCGTCGAGTGCGACGAGAAATACGACATTGTGACCTTTCAAAATAGCTCCCACGATTGTCAAAATCTGCCGTCTCCCGCGGAATTGCCTCGGCCGTACCGTACTCTAAAAAATAAACGCGAGCGAATATTTCCGTGCGTATAATTAAATTTTAATCTTTGAAATTCTGTTCCCTAAAATTCCCAATTTGATTATAATTGATTTAGTAACGTCAATAAAATATGCATGCATAATGCACGTGCATTTGTTTGTGTAAACGCTCCGTCATTTTATACTCGGACATTCTGTCGTTTGCCTAAATGATTGATTAAAAAACGCCGCTTTAATCAACCACATTAACATTACATTTCCGCTTATATTCGCGAACGCATTATGTCGCTGTTACAGTGTATACCAGTTAACTACCGCCGCTATAAATCCTCCCCCTTTATTCGCACAGAATGATCGGAAAAATCCTGCTGTCACAATGTGGTGCCCGAGCCAATGCACGCTGGAGTACGGTCACGAGGTGACTGCGCCTCCTATACGGAATTTTTTATAGTCGCTTGTACCCGCCAACCTTCCTTTTCCCCTCAACCCCGTGCTTGCTCACCCCTTCTCCGTTGCGAGCGTTTCGTAATTAATTACGGTACAGGTAGAAAAGAGGGAACCGCGTGCACTCCTCTTTTATCGACTTCCGTTTCGTGAGAGACTCGTAAAAATCCGCGTGCTCGATTTTTACCGTGTCTCTCTCACTCTCTTCCATGTCTATTTTACTCCATTTTCTCTATCCCTCTATATATATATATATATATATATATATATATATATATATATATATTCTCTCCTTTTTTCCTTTCCTCTTTTTTCCTCTCATTGCGAAAAATTTCGTTGCAGCAATTCAATGCTGTGATGAGAGAGCAACAAACAACGGTGAATGGATTGTTAAAGTATAACTAGAAAAATATAACGATCAGAAACCGCGTTAGGTAACATGCTTCCAATATGTCGCGTTCCTGGATGATCTAATAAAATTTATTTAAATAAATTGTATTTAATAAATAAATATATAATAAATTCTATTTAATAAATTATATTTATTTTTATTTAATTATATTTATTTGAATTATATTTAATTAAATTATATTTAATTATATAATCTATTTAAATTATAAATTATTTAGCCTATATAATAGCCTATATAATAGCTATTTTAAATCACTTCTACATAAATCTATTATTTGATATTTTATAGTCATAAAAATGTCGAATCTTTTAATTAATATTTTAAGTATATACAAGTATATTACACTATAATATATCTTATGGAAGATTAAATATTGACTGTTAATTAATAAACATTAGATTTTAATTGCTGATTATTTCGCATCAGTAAAATAAAGAAATAAAACTCCTCGTCTGTTAAATTTTTACCTTATTACAAAAATCATCTTTATTGAAAAAACACAAACTCTAGTAGATACGTACGACGTCTTTAACACTGTATCTTGCATGTTCGCACGTGTAAATACCTATACTTCGCCAATTTTCTCAAACTGCATCTATTTCGGCTACAAATCGGTTTTTAAACCGAACGTTCCTTTAAAATTCAATTTAGCGAGTGGATTTCGCGCGCACGCTTCTTCTCAAGATGCACAGCGCTTTATGTCCTGCATTAAAAATGAGTAGTACTACTTATTTTTCTTCCCGCCGTCGTTAAGCGAGAAAGTGCCTCCGCGAAAGAGTGCAGGAGAAAAAGAAGAGTGGCAGAGAGGAGAATGAAAGAAGATATGCACAGAAAAAAAGAGAAGGAGCGTAAGAGGAAGAGAGAGAGAGAGAAAGAACTTCCATTCGCCTAAAACAACGAGCGATTATAAAACCGCGGCCGAGACGCCAAAAAGGTTCAGAGAGGGAGGGAAAAAAGCTGCGCGCTGCAACGAAGAATAATTATTCCGCGGAAGAACGGCAACAAACGGCGGTAAGGAGGGAGGTTTCTGGACCCGAGCATATAATAAAGCAAAATGGAAATATTATTCCACCCGCCTCTTTTTCTCTCTTCGTTTTTCCCGTCACTTTTACGATGCGTTGATGAAGCACAAACAATATACAGGTGTTTGTGAAAAATTGGAACTTCTATATCCGGTAATTCACGGTAAAGAAGTGTAAGATAAAAAAACTTCTGAGAGAGTAATCTGGAAGCTCAAGCCCTCCGCTAAAAGCACTTTCAATCAAAATATCTTTTTAATGTGGATTTTTTTAAACAGTTTTATTGAGTCTTTTTAATGACAATTATAAAATAATTAATTGGAACACAAAAGCATTTTTTTTTCATGAATAAGTATTGTAGAATTACATGCTTATGTGTCATGTATGTGAGTACATTAATTATTAGCCTTAATTATATTTATGTAATAAATATATTTTATATAAATATATTTCGAATGAAATATATTTTTAAATAGGAAATATATAATATGTTCACTATAATCTATTGTATTCTCTCTCTGTAATGCGTTAACCATTTCTGCCGAATAATCCGACGATATCTATCATGCGCGTGTCGAAGGATCAAGATGGGCGACCAATATTGTTTATCTGATCGATTCACAGGACCGTTGTGAAAATCAGGTGGCCATCGTTCACAATTACATATTGATATTCGAGTCACGACGTTTCTAGGCGAGACAAACACACATAGGTTTATCGCAATGTAAATCATAATGCGTAGCGTGATACAAATTACGCGACTCTACCCTCGTTCACAGCGCCCTTCCATCATGTCAGCATTATTAGATATATCGTTATTGGATCATATATGGAGGTGAGTATTTGAATCTAGATATATCAAGAAACTATAT